AACTCAGGGCTCTCAGGAGTGACTTCCTGAGCCTTCCCTTTCAAGCAATAGAATGCAGTCTGGCACAAATCACCCCCTCAGGTGAACAGTGGGAAGAAGAAGTTCTAGGTGAGTTTGTGAGACTCACTCATTTTGCTGACTCTAAGCCATTGATGGCCAAGATCTCTAGCTGTGTCCGGACTGGAAACTCAAGTTGGCCAAAAATCCATTTATACGATACCAGTCATGGGAAGAAACTTGATATCGGGATGGAATTAGTTCACAAAGGATATGCAGTAGAAGTTCCTGAAGATGCGGAAGAAGATGGGACTGTCCCAGATGTGTTGAAGGCCATGGCCCCTGAAGCAGATGCTTCTCCTGTCAGCATAAGAAAAAAGACCAGAGAGAGCCCTGAAGAGACAGCACATTCCCTATCCTGCCTCAGCTCATCAGAAGAAACTATATAGTGTTTTCTTGTGTAGCCCAGGATTCATCTGTGAAGTTTTCAGGACTAACTTGTCATCAGTTATTATTGTCATTAAATAAAATGATTTTGAGTAAGAATAAAAAAAAAAAAAAGAAAACCAGAAGCCACTAAAAGACACTGTCAATGTTCTTTCAACATCAAAAGAACTACCCATGGTGTGTGTGTGTGTGTGTGTGTGTGTGTGTGTGTGTCTGTGTGTGTGTGGTGTGGGGTTATATGTGTGGTGTGTGTGTGGTGCATGGTGTGTTTTTGTGTGTGTCTCTGTGTGTGTGCATGTGTGTTTGGGTACACATGCATATGGGGGCCTGAGGTCGGCATCCAATGTCTTTCTCAATCACTCTTTATTCTTTGAAAGTCTTTCACTGAACCTGAATCTCACTGACTGGGCCAGGCTGGTTGTTTGGCCCAAACAAATCGATGACCTAGCTGTCTCTGGGCCTGCCCTCCAAGGCTGGGGTGACAAGCATTTTCCACCATATGCAGCTTCATCATGTAAATTCTAGAGATCTGAGTGGAAATAATAAGGTGAATGACAGGTCACTTATTAACCGAGTGACCGCCCTACCCCCAAAGTCACTATCTTTTAAGATCTGAGTTCTATTTTTTTCCCTTTGGTTTTTTGAGACAGGGTTCTTCTGTATTGTTTTGGAGCCTGTCCTGGAACTCCCTCTGTAGAGTTCTTACACATCTATTTAATTGTATTTCTGGTTTTTTTTTTTTGTCTGTATAAACACACTTTCAAATAAATTCTGTGTTGTTTTGAAAGTCTTCATTTAAAAATTCCACTCTCAGGGTTTATCCCATGGAAATATTGATATATCATAACTTAGATTGACAATGGGTAGAAAGAGGAAGTTGGGGTTGTTAAAAGTACTGGGGAGAGTTATGAAGTTGAGTAGTATTTTACATTGCTGAGAAGCTACCTAATGCCTACCCCTTCCTTACGTGTTGAGACTTACTAGATTAAACACAGGTTTAGAGTCAGATGGAACCACAGGGTTACTCCAAACTAGACAAATTTGACTGTTTCTTGAAATAATTCTTGGATACTTGAGATAGCAATTTGGGCCTATTTGGGGATGTTTTTTTTCTTCCATTTGGCTTTCATGCAGAGCAAAATAATGTCAAATTTTCTGGCCAATCATTAATTGATAGAGTACGTATAGTAAAAAGTCAACCACTAGCTAATCTCCCAGGCAGACATCCCAGAACTAGTGGGTACATTCCCATAAATTAAATTACCAGTTGAAGACCATGGAAAGAGGGACATAGGACTTATTACTTTAAATAAAAACTTGAAATAGTTTCCAATCGTACTGAGATTGGAAGTGATTTAAAAGAAACTGTGGGAAGAAAGGGTATTTTTAAAGTCAATAAATGAGTCCATATCACAGTTGCATTCTGGATCCACTCCGGATGAGACATCCATGTAGTAAATGAATGACACAGAACATCAATATTAACCTATGACAATCTTCTGACATGAACTATCATTATATCTTGCAGAACCATATACCTCAATTCAGGATGGGACCATTACTTTGGGTAAAAAAAAATTTCTAAATATATGGCTTCTGGCCAAAATATAATTCTAAATGATAATTTGTCTTCCAAATTTATTTATCAGAATATCTTGTAATGTCTTGAAAGCATGAGCATGAAGTATGTAGACTGCCCACTTGCCATCCATCCAACCCTATACTACACACAGTTTTTTGTGTTTGTTTGCTTTTAACATTTTTCTGTAATATTATCTTGGTTATAATTGATGAGCCAATACTGATATGACTGCACCTATACCTTTGGGGCAATGTGTAATATTTGTTTAACTATGCAAAGATGTGTTGCATTTTTTTATGTTGCATATTTGTCTATGTGAAGATGCGTTGCTTGCCTGCCTGAGGTACCTGATTGGTCTAATAAAAAGCTGAACACCCAATAGCAAGCGAGGAGGTATAGGTGGGACTTCCAGGCAGGTGCAGTAAGTAGTAAGAGGAATTTAGGCTCCGAAGAGAAAGAAAAAAGAGACACCAAGGAGAGGCCAGGGGCTAGCCAGCCAGACACCAAGGAAGTAGAAAGTAGGACACACAGAATGAAAGAAAGATAAAAAGCCCCCAGACAAAATGTAGAAGATGAATAGAAACAGGTTAGATTAAGTTAAAAGAGCTGGTGGGAAAAGCCACTTGCTTGACCACTAAGGTCAAGCATTCCTAATTAATAAGTCTCCATGTCTTTATTTGGGAGCTGGTTGATGGCCCAAAGAACATTTCTAACTACATTGGGATTCATTCCTTATGTTGTGTGGTTCTCTGAGATCAATCACCACCAATCATTCACAATACTTTCATTGTCCACTCCCCATTTTTTTTATCATTTTCTTTCTGTATTACTCTGATCACCTGACAGTCACTGTGTTATTTTTTCCTGACTTTCTCTTAGCTTTTTGAGAATTCTTTTTATTTTATTTTTATTTTTTGAGACAGAGTTTCTCTGTGTAGCCCGTAGACCAGGCTGGACTCAAACTCACAGAGATCTGCCTTCCTCTGCCTTCAGAGTGATGGGATTAAAGGCAGCAGGGAATTTCACTTTTTTAACTTAGATTTTTGTCTTTATTTTTTTGGTTGGGCAACCATATACTTATTGTGTTTGGGAGGCAGAGCAGGGGAAAAAACCCCAGCAGGAAGAAGATTGGGTACAGTCTATAGTTCCTGGTAAAGAGCAGGAAGGTCTCTGTTGTACCCATCACAGAACAAGAGAGGAGACTCAATAAATCATTCCCCTAGTTTCCCCACGGGGCTTCTTGAGCTTCTCGAAATTCTTCAGGATGATGTCATATAAGACAGCATAAGCATTACGGATCTCCATGACCATCAGCAGGATGTCCTGGTACTCTGCCTCATCCAGCTCGAGCACCAGCTGCAGATAATCACCCACGTGGTGCTGCTTGGCTCCTTTGGTCACTGCATCAGTACCTCTCTGAGAAGTACTTAGAGATTTGAGTGTGGAAGCCCTCCAGCTTGGTATGAAGGCTGGTCGTCAGCTCAAACACCTTCTCCTGGACAGCCGCTCCAAAATTATTTCCATCCTCTATCCGAGGTTATCTATAGTTGCAACCAAGTAGTGACCAGATTGGGAAGACCTGTGTAGCAAGACAGAGAACACGCTTGGGAGCTGTTTTCCCAAGAAGATCTCAGAGCCGGATGCATTCCTAAAGGAGCCAGCTCTCAATGAAGCCAAACTGAGCAATCTGAAGGCTCCATTGAACATCCCAATACCTGATCCAGTCAAGGAGAAAGAGAAGGAGGAGCAGAAGAAACAACAGGAGAAAGAAGAGAAGGATGAGAAGAAGAAAGGGGAAGATGAAGACAAAGATCCTCCCTGTGGCCCAGGGAACTGCAATGGAAAAATCGTGGCCCTCCTGCAGCGCCTAAAGCCTGAGATCAAGGATGTCATTGAGCAACTCAATCTTATCATGTGATTTTTATATTCATTTTTAATCTAGTTGTGTTTTACATTTAAAATGGCTTTCTTCTAGATCTAGTAGAGTATTTAAATTTCTGTCAATTTGGACACAATTTTTTTTTATTGCTGAATTTAGATCATTCATATCAAAGTGATTTTTGATATAGTTGACTACTTACCATTCTTATAATTATTTCATATTTGTTTTCCTTGGCGCCTTTTGTTGTTACTGGTTTTTTGAGATTTTGATTCTATAGTTGCCACCTCTAGTCTTATTTATAATTCTATAGGAGTTCATATTTTTTGTCTTATGATCTCAATTATAACTCAAAGTATTTGAAATGGTCACTAGAGACTTCACAAAATACATGTTTGGTTATTTTTATGTCTACTTTGATTTAGCCCTCTGCCATTTTTCATGTACAGATATCATATAACAAAATAATCTCAATCACTGCCATTCATCCTTGCTGTCCTCAATTTCACTTTTCATAAGTTTAGTCTGTTTTTTTTTTTTTTTGATGCTGGAGTAGAATATACAATAAAAAGGGAGCGTTTAACTAAGAAAGGTTTGTTTAAACCATGTTTCTGGAGCCTGAGAAGCAGCCTGCAACTGTATGGGCCTTCTTGCTAAATCATGGCATGGCACTATTGGTACTATTTTACTGGGAAAGGTTATTTCCCTTTGGACATGTTTTGTTTTTTAATCTAGTAATAGATGAACACCTGATTTTAAAATCCAAGTTTTATAAAACATTTTTAAAAAATCCTTAGTTGATACACAGTAATTGTAGCTAGTTAGGAGTATAGGGTTACATTTTAATCCATGTGCAATGATTAGATTAGGAAAATTAGCATAGCCATATGTTAAGTGACACTGAGCTTATGGAATAACTGAAGGACAACATTAGTGTAGGGGGAAATGCTGACCATGTCCCTTGAGGACTGGCACAGGTGACACTGACCTTTCTTTAAATCTTGCTAAATGTTAATGAACTAAATATTGAAACTATAGTATTAGGATAAATCTTTCTGCCAAAAGCCGCCTGAGCCCCACCCCCACGTGGGAGCTTTACACCAGCCACCCTCTTGAGTTAGGCCCAAATGAATACACAGAAACTTGTATTAGGTTCAATGCTGATAAATGTTATAAAAAAATAGAAAAGCATCTCTACTGTGGAACAATCCTTTTCTACACTATGAATATGGATTACTCTCATTGGTTAAGAAAAACCTGACAGATCAGTAGCTGGGCAGGAGGTTAGTTTGGAAAACCAAACTGAGAATAATGGGAAGAAGGAGGGCAGAGTAGGGAGAGAGATTCCAGCCAGGTGCTGGGAGAACAAGACGTGCTAGAGGACAGATTAAGCCATGAGCTACATGGCAAAACATAGATTGATAGAAAATGGGTTAATTTAAATGTAGGATTTAGTTAGTAATAAGCCTGAGCTACCAGCTGAGAATTTATAATTCATATTCAGCCTCTGAGTCACTTATTTGGGACCTGGCTGTCAGGACAGGAAATGTCCATTTACAACTCTCAGTGGTGGCCATTGGCTATTCTATACTCTATGCTGGGCATTATAATAATCATCTTATTTTATCTCATATACTTTATATAGCTAATTCAATGGTATTATATGATTTCCCCCTGAATCTTACAGCAGTAAGAAGTAAAAATAAGAAGTCTAAATCACCACAACTGACTTCTCTCTCTCTCTCTCTCTCTCTCTCTCTCTCTCTCTCTCTTTCTTTTTAATGAGTTTACTATCCTGTTTCTTTTCTCTCACAAGCCTACATATATTTTTAAACACACTGTAAACCTTTAGAGTTTTTTCTTCATCTGAATCTCTCTTTACAGTAGATCTTTACCCTTTTCTGGCCACATAGTCTTTTATCTGCTAAACAGCTTGGCTAAAAGAGCCTTGAGGGTTTTGCCGCTTATGCTGAGTCAAGAAGCCTCTCTTAAAGGAGCCTCAAGCCTCTGCTTGTCTCTGTTCCTTTCCTTCTAAACACTGGCTTTAAATCATCTCTATAGGAAACCTCTACTTCCTACTCGGTCAGGTCTACAGTAAGAAGGCACTAATACCTCATTTGAAGAAAAGGAAGAATGTATTTTTAAGAAGTGGTTCACAGAGAACCACTAAGCTAAAAGGTTTGAATAATTTATTTCTATTAAATATCTTAAGAGAACTCATTCCTGGATTCTGTATAGAAAATCCAGTTTAATTTTACACCCTTATTTCCTGCATAGATTCCTTCTCCATAAATCCAGGTTTTTCTGGAAATCAGCTATTCAAATCCACACACTTGTTTAAGTTTGTAACAGCTAGAATGATGTACCAAGAGTCTCTAAAACAATGTCTCCAGATTTTCAAGTCATATCTATAAAAAAATAGGCTTCTGTTAAAATAGGCTCCCCATAAAATTAGTCTTGGAATATTTTCTGCAGTAGCTTACTTTTGCTCTAAAGAATGTAGTGACACAGTGTAACATATTAATGTCTTTAAAACGTTGCAATTAAAACCACCCAGACGTTAACTGGCTAGGTCCGTCCCTCACTTATTTTCCTGTGACATGAATAATCATCCCATAAAACATACTTTGAGACATGGACTTAAATTACTTTTTGTAATATATTTTTAGAAATTCTGGAAGGCCAGTACTGAGTTAATGGTTACCTTTATCGTTTCTTCTTTAAGGTCTTGCTCATCCCCAAGGCTAGGTCAAGGTGAGTGAGTGTCTGTGTGTGTGTGTGGGTTTGTGTGTGTGTGTGTGCACATCTGTGAGCAACTATACTGTACACCATAGTCTTGAGGAAGCAGGTACAATAGGTACATAAGTAATCTACAATAGAGAGCATAAAAACCCCAGTTGTTTTATAATGGATACATATGTCTCTCTGTTTCCACAATGAAGCAAATATAAGATCAGTTGAATATTCAAGAACATAGTAATAAAAGAAATATGACTAATAACTGTTGGGTTTAGATATGTATGTTGACTTTTTATCGCCTTAAATATGTCAGTACTTCTGAATCTTTTAACCTGAAAACCATAAGGAAACTATTTCATTTTATGTTTGTTTTCATCAGGAATACAAATATTGTGCATAAAAAACTAGGGTACATAATTGGGTGATAACTGTGAGCTTTAGTAAAAAGCAGTCAGAATATTATGTAAGCACAATTGTCACAAATTTTAATTTTACTACGTTGCTGTTTGTAAAAGGATTGGGCTACATCTTGTTGAAATGAGATCCTCTTAACATGTTCAAGTAGCAGCCATTCTGAGCTGCTGATTTTCTTTGGAATGTCCTTAGTGATTTAGTATCAAGTTTATGATAAACAGCTGAAGGAAACAGAATAGAGGTTTAGCACTCCTTACAAGAAACAAGTTATGTTTAGCAGTGATTAGGAAAACAATTGTAAGACATTAAGAAACACGGAACACTCTAGAGTTATCATCTTTGCTAATCAGAATGTTTTGTTTAAAAGAGAATTCTATTAGAATACATAGGATGATTAGTATTTGAAAATGTTTTATTTATCTTAGTGCACATTGTCATTGGCTTGTGTCAACAAATAACTATTAACAGGTGGAGGTATTTTCTATAAGAATGAAATTTTGACACCTTTCTTATGCACAAGTGTAATTCTTCAGAGAAGAAACTGCCCTAGGATTTGGTGGAGGGATAAAATCGAAAGTGAGTTACTGGTATAACCACAGTAACTGGGTTAAATGTACTACAAAAGTCCCTTAAACCCCTAACTGTCACATGATATTACATAAAGCCCACACAATCTTGAATTAGATAGATTTTGTTTGGATTTTGCTTCCAGTAGTTAACCGTATGACTGCAATCTGTTTAATTTCTCTCTTAGTTTCCTAATCAATAAAATGCGATGAAAAATAAAATATCCATGGAAAACAACAGAATGAACATACAGTATGTAGAAATGATCCAGAAGTCTCTGGGGAGGAGAGTATCCAAAAAAGGGGGAGTCATTATCTGAAGGATCAAGACTCAGAATGGAGCCTGCATTGGTGGCGCACGCTGGAGGCAGGGGCAGGTGGATGTCTGTGAGTTCGAGGCCAGCCTGGTCTACAGAGCGAGTGCCAGGATAGGCTCCAAAGCTACACAGAGAAACCCTGTCTTGGAAAAAAAATAAGAATCAGAATGGTAGCATCTTTCTTAGGGACAACACACAAATATGCTTTCCAAACACTAAATGAGAATTATATTCAATTAAACTCCTGGACCTAACCAAGCTTTCAGTCAAGCATGGGTATACCAAAGAAAACGCAAAATACAAGAAAAATCTCACCCATTCTTTCCAGGAGGATATTCCAGAGTAATTTCTATTAAATAGCAAGTAAAGTTAGGAAATAATCATCAAATCTCTTGCTAAACAGGCACATAAAAGATTGACTCACAAACAGGAAACACTTTGTTTTCATGATTTTTTTTTTTTCTGTGTGTGTTTGGTACTTGTTCTTTAAAAAAATTGTATCTTGTTTTTTGCCTGTTTTCTGAAGAGAGAAAGAAGGGGAGGTATTGGGTACAGGGAGGAGGTGAGGGAGGGGAAACCATGATGAGAATATATTATATAAAAGTATTATTTTCCAAAGAAAGAAAGAATGAAATAAAATCAGTTATCCAGTGTCTGGTTATCA